TGATCTTGACATGTATTGTCTAGGTCATGATTCTGAACAACATTCAAAAGGTTTTAGCCAGTGTTCGGACACTTTGGATAATGCTAATGCCGATGGTACTGCAACTTTCAAGCTTCATAACTCAAGATTTATTTAATCTATGTGTTTTGGAAAGCTCTCGAGGTGTGCTACAAAAATATGTAATGAAAAAAAGAAGTTTTATTTAAAAAATTCAAAGTGACCTTGTCCTGACCTTGACAACGCCACTCAGGATCAAACCAATGTTATCATCTTATGTCCCTCTCGAAGTCCCAAAACTTTTGTCTGAAACATTTTTCCCCAAAATGCACTGTTCAAGAGATATTTGAAGTGATCGATTAAAATGGGACACCCTGTATATATATCAGGAAACACGGTCGTAGCTCGGCATTAAAAAGGATGCACCAGACCGGACTGTGTCAAATTCGTGATAGATTGAGACTAAAAGGCCTAAATTATTAAAAGTATATAAAAAATTGTCAACTTTTCTTTTTTAAAATTTATTCTCTTATCCTCAAGTTATTTTCAATAAAATATATCTTAATTTATGATAAATTTTAAAATGCTACGTGATCTTTATTCAATAACAGTCATTAAGAAATACGATTCAGGTCTAAAATACGTGTAAACTTCATCTTACCAAATCAGTAGTTCCCGCCATGTTTCCAATTTTATTCATGTCCACATTAAAAAAACTAACATGAACTATTAGATTAGTCCTTATAGTTGTCGCTGCAATAATTCTATTTCTTTCATCTAGAGTTACGTTTCCCAGAAGCTCACTGAAATTCAAGGTGTAACCCAATGTGGGACTCACTTTTATTGTATTTATCTTTGTAATAATTTCTTCTGTGGAATCTTTTGCAATTTTAGCACTATCAAAATTCCATATATCCAATATACTAATCAAAAGACAACCCTTCCGTAAACTCTCAATTATGCTGCAATACATATTACTATCAATATGAACGGCGGGTTCAAACGTTTGATTATTTTTAGAAGCAAGATTGTCATCATATAAATCGTCTCCTAACAGAGAACTTTGTCTCTTAAATCTGGACATAGCACCAGAGATAATAGGAACCCTACAAATATAAAAATTTTCTTTGTATGTGATTATATAATTAAATTAAATAATCATTTTTCCTTTTTCTTTTGTAAAACATATAATAATTTCGATCTATTAAGAATTTTATAACTTATGCTTACTTCATACAGACATCGGTCCAAGAAATGTTTTCGATTGGTGTCTGACTAGAAATTATTTGTTTAGTGATCTCGTTTAACTGCAACATATGATTAAAAAATATACTCTGCGTTGCTGATAGTTCGTAATAAATTGCATAACAATAAATTCAGAACGAAAATAAATTCAGAATCAATTGAAAAATAAATTAACAATATAAAGACAAGCTCGTCAATGTAACAACAATCATAATTTAATCAAATTAGGCCAAATTAACGAGTAATTCAAAGGTAACAGCGTTTATTAATCTTATAGTACAAAAATAAATTTAAGACGTGGTGAGACACGTTTTGACTTAGTCTTCTTCCACATTAAGTCAATAAATTAATAAAGAGAAACGTAATGTCAACATAGTATAAAACGATAACTTAATAAATTAAAATAGAGAAACGAGAGTCACATGATCGGTAAAACAATAAAATGGTGGACATTAAAAATAATAAAAAACAGTCAATAGATAGTACTTTAAGAGCTGATACTATCGTAGTTAAGTTAATATTTAAAAAATTTTATTTCGGAGCAGTCTCTTTGTCCAAAATTATAAAATGTTCCAACTGAGTAAAAATTTAGTTGAACAAATTGCGAAACTTGTCAAATATCCAAAAGTAATATAATCAATGTGTCAAATAATGTAAAATTTACAAGTTTTTCATGTATAAACAAAAAAAAACTAAATTATCTATTTAATTTTATATTTACCCTAATAAGTGTTTGCTGTTCTAAAACGTTATCGCCAGTTAAAATAAATGTTTGAATTCGCAAAGTCTCCAGGTAATGCGACATTAACCATTCGGTAGCTTTTGCAAAGTCAGAATCTGGTGGAATCCATAGTTTAACTATATTCTTTTCCTGCCGGAAACGAAATAGACCAAGGCAACAGATTAATGTTACCACGAGACATCCGCGCATCCATTTGAATGGATTTTGAGCAATACGCACTCCAAGCCTGTACAAAAACAAAGTTGCTCCATTATTAAACTGTTTGACACTTATCAGTTTATTGAAGATCCGAGGACTTACCGATAAAAAAAGTATTCTATCGCTCCAGATAGGCGTTCTGGTAGATTGTGCCAAAATCCACAGTATGATTGTCTTTTAGCACTATCGTTGTGCAGTTCCATTTCCTTGTTGGTTTGATAAAAGTAAACAGAATCAGCGCATTATTCAATGTACCGTCTAGTCGATTAGAAAGATAAAAGTTCCTGAAATAAAAACTAGGTATTTTGAGTTCAAAACGCAGTAATAATCAAGTTTTTACTCCAAATTTGAAAGTTTTTTTATTCGAATATGTATTTTCTTTGAGCATTATTATGTTCTAGAATTCAATTTTTGCATTTAACCAAAAGATTTCTGTGTAAAGACAATTGTAAATAATCAAAATGTAGTACAATAACTGATTGGCCGTGGTTATACTTTACAATTAGATTATTGTCGCTAGAGAATTGAACTCAAAGTCCATTTTGTTTGAATTTAATCGTCTATGTGTCGCATATCGATATTTAAAGTTATAAACACAAAAGATATAAAATAATATTGAAGTAACATATCTAGATAATATACATTTTAATGAATATTAAAAAAATAGAATCTGTATTTTTTTCAGGATTGTGATCAAAGACAGTTTCTTATCGTTTATTGATCTTTTTACGGAGTAAGAAAAAAAATTTTTTTTTCTATAAGTCAACGCGATTAAAATCTCTCGCTTACTGGGAAAACATGACATCTTACAGAATGCCTTCACTAGATATAACTTATACTTATCGCGCATAATGCCACATTGCGAGTATCATATACATATGTATATGTTATTGACTTATTGCAATTCTTGAATGTAACATTAGCGCGCCGATAATCCACCAATTAATGGCGTGTCGCGTGATAAGGCACTCGTGTCTATATAATACAACTAACAATAAGTTCATATATCACGACAAATTATAAAAATTAAATGATAACAAGATATTGCAGATGGATACTCGTTGCGGGCGCACGGGATATCTTAAAATATTCAACAGCAATATCTCGCATTGCTATTCATAACGCATAAGGCTATTATGTCCATATGTATTGTGCGTGATTAATCAATTGTTAAAGACATAGGAGTGCGCAATAAAAATTAGGTCAACAAGCATCTGTTTAGAATGAAATACTATACATATATGTATATGGCTTCAAATAAATAAATAAAATTCACGAAAAACTTGCCTATACGAGCCTATGCAGTAAGAGCATAAATAAATAATTTCAATTTAAAACATGAAATATGATATAATGAAATTCAATTAATATATATAATTACGATACAATTAAATCACAATTGTTTCGATCCGTAATGTGGATCCTTTTCAGTGTATAATGTTTTTCCATATGCTCAACCAGTAGATAATGTTTTTTAAATGTTTTTTAAATATTTAATATCATAATATTAAATAAACATTGTTAATAAACTCTACATGGTGAATCCAGAAAAAAATAAATTATTATAACTAATTATGGTCAGTATTATAAATTATAATTGATATAATACTATAATTATGATTATAGAAAATAAATTACAATTTTTTTAACATAAAACTGGTTATAATTCGGAAACAACTTATTTCCGGACCTATGTTTATTGTACAACTTTTTTTCTTTCTTTTTGGATCCCGAATCACCTCCCGAAGTATTGCAAGCAATTTACTGGACATCCTATGTATATATGCACATAACAAAGAATTTATATAAATTCCAATATTGTTTTAAAATAGAAATTATAAACAATTTCTAACTATTGAACATACATTATATTAAAAATATTATAATAACAAAAACTTCATATAATTCTAATATATTATTTAAAAAAAACAATTATATATGATTTTCAACAGATCGGAAGAGC